CGTGTTGGTCAACGTGACCGATAGGGACCTTCCGGTATATATATATATATATATATATAACTTGTCCAAAATGCCAACAAGTGTTATTATATAAAACTTAGTTAGGCAACACTTGTAATAAATGTGTTATTATAGGATATTTTTAAACAACATTTTTTTTTTTTACCTAAGTGATGTCTAAATAATGGATCTTAAAACAACACTTATTTTGTGTTGTCAAAGGTAACTTCCTTTTAACAGCATAGAGATAGATAACACATTAAAGATCTTATTTAAGTGTTATTAAAAGGCATTTTTATGTTGTAGTGAAATCTCTCTTTTCTCCTAAACTCTCGAAGACAATCCTATTATATTCGGGAAAACTTTTGCGTATACTGCAGAAGGAAACTTTTCTACCTTGTGGAATAAAGTTGATTCCAAACCAATTTTGCAGAAAAACATTTTCTCAAAATAACATGGTTTCCTCTTCCATATTACTACTAGGACAAAAGATTATCATTCAGAGTATGTCTAGCACGCATGCATGTCTGCAACTATTTGTGGTACGTGCTTGGCTTCCAACCTACCAAAGGATTTTGTCGGTGAATAAACAAATATTCGACATTTTAAAATGTTTCATCCAATTACAGCAAATTAAAAACACAATATCATTATAAATTTCAAATTAACAATACCCTCATGATCAGTGAAGACATACATCACACACCAACAATTAAACCTATCTCACAATTAATCTCAACCGAAATTGACAAAAGCAGATGCATGCATTTGAATCTGTTAATATATGATAGTTGTCAAAGGAATAATTGGAAGAATAATAGAAACTTATTTGTATTTAGAGAGTAGTAGTAATTGTGGTAATTGTTGTTGATCTTGTTACAATGAAATCCCAATTTGACTATTTATAGGCATGATGTTCCATCTCTAGATGATGATGAAAATATCTACAATTTTCTAAACTTTTAAAGTCTCTACACTCTTTTAGATTTTTCTAGAGACTTATACAACTTTTCTTATGTTTCTAAAATTTTCTTTTTCTTTCTTATACATCTTATTTTATGTTTTCTTTTATAGAATTTGCATCATAATTTCACATAATCTAACAATCTCAGAATCACAAAAGCAGTTCTTTATTGAAGATCCAGCTGAACTTGACGGCACGAGGCTTCATCTTACGCGCCCTCTCATCAGCTCGCTCTTGCAACTTCCTAATCCTGGGTGCTAACCCACACACATAATCCTGCGCCCTCTTTCCCTCAGCCGTCAAACCTCCCAGCTTCTCCAATCTCCACTGTCCGATCAGAAACTCCAAGATGTCAGCATAGTCATTAGCGGTGTACACGCCCGTACGTTGAGCCACCGCAGAAAAGTGCTCGAATAGCCTGGGGTCCTCCCCATCGTACATAAGGTGTGCCGGCATCGTGATCTTCTTTTCCATCATATACGCTATGGCCTCCATTGCACCCGAGGGGTCCACTTCTAGAAGCTTCTCCACGACCCTCGAGTACACGTTCTCGTGCCGTTTCTCATCGGCCGCAATGGTCCCGCATATGCGCGCCAGCACCGGATCACCTCCCTCCTTCGCAAGCCGAGCTGTGTTGCCGTGTGACACGAACGTCGCTCTCTCTTGGAATGACGTGTACACAAATCCCAAATACGGGTTGTTCCCCAAACCATGCTCCTAAACAAAACAAATCAAATCTCATCTTCCTTTCTGTGTTTTTTTCCTCAAATTTATTTTTGATTTTCTTTGTAACTTGGTAGTCATCAATAATATATTAAAAAAAATAAAAAGAGTTGGAAACTGACCATGCCAGCAGAAATGAGATAATGAATAGTCTTATCGATCATGTTCATGTGAACGCGACCAGAGAGATACAAATAAGTTCTGAGCAAATCCCCGTGTCTGTTTTCTTCGGCAGTCCAGCCTCGGATCCACGTGGCCCATGGGTTTGGGCTCCTTCCGGGCTCATCTTGAACCCCTTCCATGGTGGTCAATATGGTCTGGTAAGTGGGAAGAGCTTCTTCGGTGACCATGTCACCCACCAAGACCACCAAGTAGTCGTCGGGTAGCTCCTTGGCCCGTTGGCGAAGAGCCTTAACCTCTTCCATGAACTCTTCGTGCGGCAATGAGGAGTCAGGGACCAGGCTCTGTGGCTGCCAGCACTGCTCCACGGGCTTCAGCATTGGCACCACACACTCCCAGGCCCATCCATCAAGTGACTTGAAAACTTCTAACTTTTCCGGTGGCATTGACAGCATCTCCGGCCCTGAGACGGCCACCGCACATTTCGGCGGCGACACGTGGTGGCGGCGGCGAAGGCTTAAAGAGTATGTACGTGCATGGTTTTCGTCGCTAGTATATGGAAGACTGTAACTAATGTGGGGGATATTTATAGAATTATATCTGTGGTGTGACCGGTGATTGGTGAATGTGATTAGTAGCTTTTTCGCATTGGAAAAATTTTAATCATTTATCCGAAAATAAAAATAAAATTCTATGCTACTTTTTAATGGTAAGTTTTAAAAACAATCATTTATTTAAAAATTATTCAACGAAATTTTAATTTAGTAATTGTTCTAGGTTTTATTAAAACTTATCATAACTTTGTGATAACATTTGAGTAAATAGTTAAATTTAGTTATGAATAATATAAATTTGTTTATATATAAATTTTTAATTTCATGCATAAATATTTATGAAAAAAATAAAAAAGAAATTATTTTTTTCATAAATTATAAACTAGTTTTTTTTTTTTAAAGAAGAGATATAACTTCTTCTCACTAGATTAGTTCCTATAAAGATAGTGGGCTTTTTGACCATTGTGCAGCTTTTTTTAAAACATTTTACATAAATGGGGCTGTTTTGTAACTAATTACACCTTTGGGGCTGTTTATAATGGTGTCGCTATGGGTCATAGCGACACTCGTGACACGTGGAATTTTTAAACTTTAGGAAAGTCATGAAAGCCATATTGATAATGTTGCTATGGGCTATAGCGACACAAAACGGCTTCAATGAAGTCGCTATAGCCTACAGCGCCCCATTTTTAATATTAAAAAAAATATTAAAAAAAATAAGTAAATAGTTTTTTTTTAAAAAAAATACAAATTTGTGAAAGTGGCGCTATGGCCTATAACAACACTGTGTCGCTATAGGCCATAGCATTGTTGTTAACATGTGGTAATTAGTTCGGAGAATATATATCTGATTTTATTTTAATAAGATTATATCTTTAGTCTTGCATTTGAAAAGGACTTCCATTTGAAAAGTTAATATCATGATATTGTTAATATTCTCAACTTGAATAGAATCACTTTCCATGAAAACTATATGTGACAGACTTAAAAAATATTATCAATTTGTTATCAATTTTATACCATTTAAAAGTTTTTTTTTGTATACTTATATTATTTGAAAAGTTACCAATATATCTTATAAATATATGACGATGAATTAATTAATTGTTAAAAAAAACAAAAAGCATACAAGAATGTTCATAAATATATCCTGAGATGTTCAGTGGTTGAAACTTGAAACTATATATAAAATGTTTGTAAATATTCAAATTAATTCATGCACGACAGAGGAAAGTCATATTAATTTTCCAGTAGCAGAAATTATAATTATATGTAATCCCTAAAATTGCATTTAATTAGGACATTACTCTCTGAATAATTTTTTACTGGTCATATTAATTTTTAGAAAAATGTGACATCAAGATAAATCTAACTGTACAAAATATTAATCAAGAACATATTTTTAATCATTCATAAATAAAAAGAAAAAGAATACTAAGAGTATCTCCAATGGCGGTTGCTCCGAGTGTTGCTTAACCCAAGCAACAGATCCTTCAAAAAATTAATTTAGGCTTAATTATACTTTTGGTCCTCCTAATTTAGTGTAGGAGCAGTTTTGGTCCTCATAATTTGAATTGCTTAATTAATTTTGGTCCATAAATTCAAATAATGGGCAATTTTAGTCTCACAAACAATTTACCATCCAAAATTTAACAGACGTTAATGATCTGGATTTTATGCTAAATAAACATTAATTATATATTATTTAATTTTTTACGTGTCAAATTATTTAATATTCAAATTTTAAAAATTTTAAATTCAAATTCGTTTTCTCATCCTTTGTACCCTTTCCTTTGTTTCTTCACCAGCACCCTCGCCAGCAACGCCGTGTACTCCTCTAGCACCTCCGCCACGATCACCACCAGTATCATGCATTAGATGATTGATATGCATTGATATCTGTCATGAGATGCATTTATTGCATGATTATTAATATGATGAAGTGTGGTGTTTGACTTCATGATTGGTGGATTGTATTTTATGCATGAGTAGTGTTGGATAAAGTGTATGGTGTGACTCTATGAACATGATTGATAGTTGGATGATGTGTAGTATAGATTTTATTCTGTACTTGTATGATTGGTTTTGAACTCTAGCTTATCCTTCTGTTTCCATGTGGTGGAACTGCGATGATCATACTTGGTATGGGAGCAGGTCAATGCTAGCTTGGAGTTGAGGTGTCTGCTGCGAGATGGGGAGTTTTGATCCTCGTGTTAGAGTTACCATTTTGGGTAACGATTTTGTCTGTGCTTGACCGACACTAGGGAATATTATTTTTGGGATGACTGTATATATATGGTGTTCTATTTTATAACCAGAAACTTAGTTATTTTCAATCTTATTTATACCTGTATGTATGAGTTATCCAGCTTAATATTTCTCTTAGTTCACTAGTGCCCAGCCTATAGCGACACTGTTGTGGCTCATTCCAGCCCATCCTAGACCAAAAAAAAAAAAATTTCCACGTGTCATGGGTGTCGTTGTGGCCCATAGCGACACCCAAGAAAACAGCCCCAAAGGTGTAATATGTTTCAAAACAACCCCATTTTGATATATAGTTTGTAAAACTGCACCACAATGGTCGTTTAGCCAAGATAGTGGTATCTACAATTGCGATTTCATGTCTAAGTTGAGGTTCGAAGCTCACTCGTTAGTTAAGAGATATAAGCAATGTTTTAAAAACCGGATCGGACCGGCTGGTCAGATCGGTTGAATCGGGACTGGTGGTCCAGCCGGTCCGAATCTTAAGTTGGATCAGTTATGCATTCGACCCGTTTCAACCAGATTGAACTGGTCAATTTTCCGGTTCGACCAATGAACCGGTGGGTCAAACCAGTTCAACCACAAATTTTTTTTATATTTTTTTTAAGGGACCACAAACCACAAAAATAGCAATAAGAATTGAATCTTTTAATAGAAGTGCAAAAAGTCTTATTAAACATAAGAATGACTACTTGTTCTAATGTATTTGTTTGTAATATATGCAACTTAATTAAATAACTTTTATAGTATTTTATAATTTTAAATTATATATTTAATAATATAATATCTATATAGATATTACATAGATTATTTTGTGATATCAATTGCAAGTATATTATATATGTACATATTATTTATATTTTTAATTTGTATTAATACAATTTAACATGTAATTTTTTTTTATGTATTTCTTTATACAAAATAAAAATAAAGATAATTTTAAATAAGATGAAAATTAAAATTTAAAATAGGATATGAATTTATTGAAATTTATAAGTATAAAATATATTTAACATGCATATTTTTTAAAAAAATTAATAAAAACCAAGTTATGCGGTTCAATTAGTGACCCACTGGTTTGACCTTTGACCCATTGACCCAGTACCCTAACTGATTTGATGACCGGCCCAGTTTTTAAAACTATAGATATAAGTGCCGAAGTATTTCAACTAACAACTTTTTGGTAAATTAAAAAAGTAGTTTATGTGTAAATTAAAAATAAATTTTTGAAAAAAGTGATGTAATAGAATTTCTATAAATTAACTTATGATACATAAAATAATTTTAACTTCAAAAAAATTCATTTTATTATTTTTTATTTTTCCTTTTAAAATTATTTTTGTAACGGTTTATTTCAATGATAAAAGTTACACTTAAAGTGTGTTTAGATGAGAGATTTTAATGGAGTAATTTATTTATTTATTTTGAAATCTTAAATGCTTTAGGATGAAATACTATGTTTGAATGGAAAATTTAAAAAAAAATTGAAATTCCTTAAAATTGTAAAATTTTAAATTCTTCCAAAAAATAAAAAAATTAAAATTTTTCTCTCTCTTTTTTCTCCTACATCCCGGTCTTCTCTTTCAAAGTCAACATAATAACAATATATTTTTTAAATTATTCAATGTGTGTTTGGATGATAAATTTAAATGGAGTAATTCATTTATTTGAAGAATTTCAAATTTTTTGAGGTAAAATATTTTGTTTGGATGAGAAATTTATAAGGAATTTGAAATTTAAGTATTTGTGAAATTCCTTGAAATAGTAAAATTTCAAATTCTCCTAGAAGAGTAAAAATTTAAAATTCCTCATATTTTCTTCTTCTTATTTTACTTATATATTTTATCTTATATCTTATTTTTTCATGTTTTTAATTATTGAATATTCAAAAATATTTTTAAAATTATTAAATATTATTTAATATTAATTTTTAAAATTATTAAATATTTAAAAATTAGTTAATATTTATTTTTATAAAATTTAATTTAAAAATTTCAACATATAAATATATTTTTAAAATCAAATTTACCTTAGTA